ATCTTTGGGGTCCAGCTCCTTCTATTTCCATTGATGGTTATCGATATTATGTGACCTTTATCGATGAATATACAAGACATTGTTGGCTGTTTCCATTGATCAACAAATCTGATGTCTTTGCTACTTTTGTTGCATTCTATTCATTTGTTCTTACTCAGTTTGCAACTGCTATACAAACCTTACAGAGTGATGGAGGGGGTGAGTATGTCAGTAAGGCTTTTCAGTCCTTTCTTCTTGATAAGGGAATTACTCATCACATTTCTTGCCCACATACACCCGAGCAAAATGGTCTAGCCGAGCGAAAGCATAGGCATATTATTGAAACCATTGTGACTCTATTACAAACAGCTAGGTTACCTGCTTGTTTTTGGTCATATGCTTGTCAAACAGCTGTCTATCTCATTAATCGCATGCCTTCTTCTGTGCTCGGACACAAATCTCCTTTTGAACTTTTGTTTGGTCATCTTCCTGTAATCTCTCATCTCCGGATATTTGGTTGTGCCTGCTATCCTTTGTTAAAGCCTTATAATGCTACTAAATTACAAGCCAAGACCACCAAGTGTATTTTTCTGGGGTATGCTACCAAATATAAAGGGTATATATGTTATGAGGTTTCTAAACAGCGAGTTTATATTTCCAGACATGTTGTGTTTGATGAGGATCAATTTCCTTACACATCTTTGTTGGTTCACTCTAAAGCCTCATATCAATCTTCTTCAGTTCCTACTTTCACACTTCCTGCACCTGTGATTTCTAATGACAATGTTGTGTTACCTATGTCTCATTCCTCCTCTAGATCACCATCATCTACTACCAATCCTGCCTCTTCATCATCATCTGCTCCTTCTCCCATTTCCATCTCTCCTATTCCTTCCTCACTCCTATCTTTTCCATCCATTACCGGTTCATCCACTACTTATTCTCCAGTCCCTGACCCTGTGGCACTTGTCAATGGTTCTGATGCTTCTCCAGCAGCATCCTTTGGTCCTGATACTTTGCAAGTGGTGTTGGAGGTTCCACCTCTCAATTTGCATCCTATGCAAACTCGGAGCAAAAGTGGTATTATCAAGACCAAAGCTTTATTAGCTACTATTCAGGAGTCTGCCTGCACTGATTTGTCCCTTATTGAACCTACCTCTTATAAAACTGCAATGAAGGATCCTACTTGGTTGAAAGCTATGCAAGAGGAGATAGATGCTTTACATAAGCAAGGTACTTGGAGTTTGGTGACATTACCTTCTACGAAGAACTTGGTCGGGTGCAAATGGATATTCAAGATCAAGAAGCATTCTGATGGCACTATTGCTCGCCATAAAGCTCGGCTTGTTGCTAAAGGGTTCAGTCAAGAACCGGGTCTTGATTATGGGGAAACCTTCAGTCCTGTGGTTGAACCCACCACGGTTCGCCTAGTATTGGCTTTGGCAGCTCAATTTCATTGGCCCCTTAGGCAACTAGATGTCAAGAATGCCTTTTTACATGGCATTTTGGATGAAGAGGTGTATATGACCCAGCCTCCTGGTTTTGCTGATATTGCCACTTCTCACCTTGTTTGCAAGTTGCACAAGTCTCTATATGGACTTAAGCAAGCCCCTCGAGCTTGGAATGACATATTTACCAAGTTCTTGCCTCTTTTGGGTTTTCAACATACTTATTCTGACTCCTCCCTGTTTGTCAAGACAGTTGACTCTGGTATTGTCATCTTGCTGCTTTATGTGGACGATATTATTATCACAGGGAATGCAGCTGCATCTATGCAACAGGTTATTAGTGCTTTAACCAAGGAATTTGATATCAAGGATCTGGGGGATCTGCATTTCTTTCTGGGCATTCAAATCTCTCGCACTGCACATGGCTTATGTTTGTCTCAATCCAAATATATTTTGGATCTTCTTACTAAAACTGAGATGCTTGAGTCCAAGTCATGTGAGACTCCCTGTTTGCCTTATAACCGGCTTCTCAAAGATGATGGTGCTCCTTATAACAATCCAACGTTGTACAGGAGTGTAGTAGGTGCACTGCAGTATCTTACATTTACTAGGCCGGATATTGCATTTTCTGTCCATCAAGTATGTCAATTCATGCAACAGCCTATGCTTGCTCATTTCACTGCTGTCAAACGCATTTTGAGGTACCTAAAGGGTACCATTCATCATGGCCTTGTTTATTCCCATGGACCACTGCAATTGAAAGCCTACAGTGATGCTGATTGGGCAGGTGACCCGAATGATAGGCGTTCTACCACTGGCATGGCTGTGTTTTTAGGCAACAATCCTATCTCCTGGTCATCCAAGAAACAATTGACAGTTTCTCGCTCATCCACAGAGGCGGAATATCGAGCCTTGTCCTCTACTTCCGCGGAATTAGACTGGATTCAGCAACTGTTAGTCTTTCTGCAGGTTCCTCTTCCATCACCTCCGGTTTTATTTTGTGATAATTTGTCCACCATTGCTTTGGCTTTTAATCCGGTTCAACATCAACGCACTAAGCACATCGAGGTTGATGTTCATTTTGTGCGAGAACGTGTTGCCAAGAAACAACTTTCTGTTCAGTTTGTGTCATCTAAAGAGCAGTTTGCTGATATTTTGACTAAAGGGTTGAGTTATCCTCTGTTTCGTACTCACTGTACCAATCTCATGATTCGAGCATCGAATCATGTGTTTGCGGGGGGATGATAGGATAGAGATATTGGTGTATAAGATGTTGACACTTGTAATCAGATTAGAGAAGAAGTTAGTTAAGGAAGTTAGCTGTGTAAGTGTAAAGCTATAAATACCTCAACACTGTATTACTTGAAGGTTAAGAAAATATATCAGAGATATTCATCTTCTCTCTAAGTTCTTCTTTCTCTCTCTCTATCTCTGTCTCTCTCTCTCTAAGTCTGTTACATTCTTATTCTTTCTCACTGTATAAGATTGATCATAGTTAACACCATATGCATGCATGGGTCCTAATCTCGTTGTTTATTAACTATATACATGTCTAAAGTAAAGAGCTAGCAAACTATATAAGAAACTTAACTGCACGAGTAAATAAATATTAACCAATTTCCTATACCCTACCACAGGGAAAGCACAGAATGCATTTCCTCTCTGGGTCATTTTTCTTTTCAGTTTCATGAATTAGTAGTCTTAATTTTGGCAGACAAGAGCCGAGCTACAAAGAATAGCCCACAAGTTTATTGTTTTCCTTCATCTCTGCACCCTCTTTTTGAAGCAACAATGAATATTATTATATAACCATGGAAGACTCCGCACAAAATGAGAAAGGAAAAGCAAGAGAAACACTGGTTAATTAATTTCGAAAATAAATCAGCAATTCTTCAGAGAATGAAAGCGAAAGAACACAAGTCCACAGGCAGAGAGGACTGCATTAGAAGGCAGACTCTGTGTCTCTCAGCTCAGCAGGCTCCGCACCAGCTGCATCTAGCTAGTAGTAGCATTATGTCACAAGATCCAAGAAGCATTAAGGGACACCCGACCCCAGTTGTGGTCCTCTACGCTCAACATTGTATAGAAAGAGTAAAAATTCTACTACGCTCCCGTATATGACATGCACTAGATGAATAGAATGTTGGACATGTTTCTAAAAATCCAACGATCAAGGATTCAATCAACGGATGTTATAGCGTTGGGTTTAAGGTTTCACTAGCACTATAGGTTAGGGTTACAAATAATCTTCGATAAACAAATTAGTATATCTTACTAAAATAATCGGTATAATGTTCAGAGCGAGGCGTATGTGTACCTAGCACGCATGCACATGCATACACACGATAAGAACTGTTCTTCTTTTCTTATTATTTTTTATTTATTTTTATTGTTCAAAATACATAAGGAGACGAATGGAATTTGTGTACAGGCATGCTGATAGGTACTACCACTAAGATTTATGGAATTTTTTGTGGCCCTCAACTATCTACATGCTGCGCTAGGTCAAGGACCACATTTGATCCATGGTTTCTTAAATTCTCAAATTGGTTTTTAACTTCCCCTTTCAAATTTTCTTGTGTAATTAATATTTATTGTATTCTTAACTCATTACTCTTGTATTTGACAATTGATTATATGTAGACTGTTCGACTGATTCACAAACTATATTTGGGTATCACTTAACCGCATTATACAGCCTCCAATACAAAAATACTCCTATGTGAGAGGTCTAACACAATCCATTTGATTCGACTGTTGAACCTCAAGATTTCTCCGTTACTCCACGCTCCTTGATTCTTTTACATGCATATACGTTTTGATTGCAAACAAGAACCAATAAGGCAACGAGTCAAAAAAATATTAAAAATAAAAAAGGTGATAAAGTTTCATAGTTAGGGCCCAACTTATGTACAAGTTTATTGATTAGCATTCTGGATTTGGGTAAATCACTGAATTGTGGTAACGTTCATCAAAAGTCCAGCCCGTTTGATAAAACTTAAAACTGTAAAAAATGAAAAAGCCCCCGGCGAGGATCGAACTCGCGACCTTTCGCTTACGAAGCGAACGCACTACCACTATGCTACGGAGGCTGACTATTAATTATTTCGTTTCTAAATTATTTGTAAAATACATAATCATTAATTCGCAAATGACTTGTTTTTTTCTTTCTAAATTATTTATCAAAGTCACATCACATTATATGGAGCTCCATCAACAAAATTCATTTTCCGGATTTAATCACTAACCTAATGTGAAAATGGTTGTATCGATTATCGCTTGTATCAGAACAAAAAAAAAAAAAAAAGTAAAGCAAATGGTTAGGAAATTGTTCACCAGAGCGTGCTAGGTCAGATGAAACATAGAAACTATGCGATGTTTTGTTACAAATCCTTTGAATCCGATGCCAACGGCTAATAGAACACCGTTCTCTTTCAAACCTTTCAACCAATCGATCCAACCCTAGAGAACGATGTTAGATAAAACTCGAGCGGTTTCTTGATAACTCAGCCGCAGATAAGAAAACATGATATGATTCAACACAACACAACATTTTTGAAAGGGAAGTGAAAGTGGAGAGGGAAGGAAAAAGGATCTTATACATTGATTTCAAATACAAGTTCATCTTTTCAAGGACTTTTACAAGTTAACTTCTTTACAAATCCAGCATTATGATCTTACACATAATTTATTATGCTGCTTATCACAAAAAAAATGTAAATTTAAATCACGACGGAAAATGGAAAGGAGGAGACCGATTAGATGACACTCTACTTAGCAAACAGCTGCCGACGCCGCCTCGATGGCTTTGCTCGCGAGCAAGCTGCTGCTGCCTCACCAATAACGATTTCATTAACCAGATCCTTGAAGATCAACCGTTCGACATCTAACACTACGCCGGAGATGTCACCATGGAAAATTGTCCAGCTTTCTGACCGGTGCATCACATCCTCCCACAAGATGTTTTTCAAACCATCACCCTCGTCCTCTAAGCTGCACTCCGGCTTCTTGGCTTGCAATTGTTCTATGTCGCTAGACAGTTCCTTCAGAAGCTTTTGCGCGTTGAGGGTCTTCTTTGCGAGCTTGTCAGGCTTCAACCATGGCACAGGAGGGATACCGGCTAAATTCAACTTGTCAACAAGAATTTCATTGACTGCATCGAATATGAGTTTCCGATGAAATTTCTCTCCCTCTTGTACCGGAATGGTTACCTTTTCGGGGACGCATTCTTCTTTTGCCAGCAAACTGCTTGCCTTGGTTTGCTCCAAAACATAGAATAACTCGGGGTTGATGGGATGGCCTGAGGGATGGAGCTGAAATGTCGTCAAGCTGGAGCCGAGGTCTCTGAGTAGGAGGCCTGAATCTAACAATATCTTAGAAATGTATCTGTGGTCTGGATTTGTGTTCTCGCAAAGAGATGCAATATAGTCTGTTCTTGCTTCATCATGATTAGAATTCAATCGACTAAGCTTCTGAACTAAGTTTTCAATGTTCTTCAATCTCATGCGATTGATTTCTGATGTAAGACCAGATCCCATGCTGTCAAGCTTATCTGCAGGGTTCCATTGATCTTCACCTTCGCTGTGCTTGGAATCTTCGGCACTATTGCCTGTATTCCAAAAAGAAGTATTCAAGTCGGATTTTAGAAACGAGGGAAAAAAAAAAAAAAATCTCTCTTTTCCAGAATGCAAATATGCTCACCACTAGTTCAACTCTATCTAATCTTTCTAGTGAGAGTATTTTTTCAAATATAATGTATTCTCTTCAGGTTAAACTGTACCTTGGAGGGCATTCGGCATCTGCTTTACGGGTGATGGTGCGTCATCTCTATATGCTGAGTTATCAAGAACAGACACAGGACTAGGATGTTCTGGACCAACTATAGCAAGTTCAGCAACAGATCCATATTCTTCCAACCTTGGACTTGATTTCTGAAATGTTACAAAAAAAAGATATAAACATATAAATTCAATTTTTGAAAGTGAATGAGTGGAAACGGAAGAGTGAAACCAGTAAAACACCTACTTGCTGCATTGAACCAGAAGCCAAATACTCGGCAGCTCTCAAACATGGACTCTGGCTGCCATTTATCTCAGCAGCTCGTACAATACTAGTGACTTCCATATCGAGGTCATCTCCTTCAAAACTCAAACTTCTAGATTCATTACTTATCTCACTCAACTGGTCATCACCTTGCTGCAAGTTGGAAGATTTTGGTCTGAGTTTTCCGCCTGGCGAACCTGACTCTGTCGATTGCCTGCTGGACTGCCTTCTGGATTTTTTTGAATCAGATGGAGGGGTAGGTGGACGAGATGACTTTGCCAACTCAAGTTTCTTCTGTTGTAGTCTTGGACTCACAGATCCTGAGCTCTTTACTGAACTTGATCCAGCGGTATCCTTTGGCAGAGATTGTATTGATCTTATATTCCTGCCACTTGTTTTTTTGTCAGTAGAACTTACAGCAGATTCCTTCCGACTGTTTTTGGGATACTGATCTTTAACTGTCCGACTGCTAGTTGAACCCGTCTTATTATCTGTACTTCTCCTTCTCTGAAGAGTACGGGCATCAGAGAGGCCATCTACTGAAATTAATGATGAAGTGGGAATACCAGATTTTTCAACAAGTTTTGCAGGTTTCATGATCACAATCGGGGACTCAAAAGACCCAGAGGAAGCAGCACCTCTAGTTGTCGAAGCAACAACATGGTCGCTTGTGTTTCGCTGGTTTGTTGATTTCGAATTCAGATTGGAACTTGTACATTTGGATTCACTGTCTTTTTGAGTTCCAAAGTTTGAAGCTTGTTCTTCTTTTTTGGTCTCTAAAAGACCTTTTGCTTGCATTGCTTCGAGTATCTGTTTAAGGGCTCTGAGATCCTTCCCGGATTGTTTAAATTCCAGATCTTTCAACCTCTTCTCAATCTCACTATAAACAGAAGGGAAGGAGTCTGAGGTCCTTGCTTGAACTTTTACAGGTTTGGAAGATGGTTTCTGAGAACCTTGACTTCCATCCTGCATTTTCCATGGGGCTGGCTCAATTGGAAACCTTGAACTCGAAATAGGCCTCATAACCAAATCTGGATTTTTCCACCGTGGTGATGATGGTTCTTTCAGAGAATTTCTTGTGGTGTAAGAAATTCTCATAGGCATAGGCCTCTGCAGATTATTTAGCTTCAGTGGTTTTGAGAAAGGATCAATATCTTTAACCAGGCAGGTTTTAATCAAGTGACTATCACTAGTCAAGGCAGAATCTGGCAAGGCTTCCAAACCCATCAACTTTGCCACTACACTAGGAGGTCGATTATGACTTCCGGATGATTGAGGTAGATTAGGGTCTCTGTCATTTGAGTTTCCACTATTCTGAAAACTTTTCGAACGCTGATATGATTTTGAATCGGATGTGGAACTCCGCATTGAACCTTCTCTACCGTCCAGCGAATGTCTTGGCAACTCTTTTAGCTTTGGGGTTGCTTTGAAGGCATCTCTTGAATCCAAAGACAAACGATTTCTCTCTCTCCCGTCATAAGAAAAACGTGGAGCGTCCTTCGTAAGTGTGTTCCAGGAACTATCTTTCAATTCATATGATGATCTTGGATGATCTCTAGCGTCATCATTACTCCACGGTGCTTCTTGAAGTTTAGCAAGAACTCGAAGAGACTCCCTGAGGTCAGCAGGCACATTTTGCTTCCCATTGATCCCAACTTCAATTGATCCTTCCACTGATTTGGACAACTGTAAGGGTCTTGGAGAGTCTCTATGTTTCACTGCATGACCTGCAGATTCCTCTTTGGTTGTAGTTTTAACTGATAGTGCCCTAATTTCCCTATGCATAGAATCCTTCACCACGTCCCGGAGATCAAGGGATTGCCTCCCTGGTTTGGGGGACATACATGATTGGTTTGTCAGGTCCCTTGGTGGAGTTTCAGGAAAAATGCTTCTGTCAAAGGAAGATGTTCCAGGTTGAGCTGTTTTGTTGTAGTCCAGAGATGACAAGGAAGAACAAACGGATGAGAAAGAGGCTCTTGACGATTCTGCTGAGATTCTTTTTGTCTCATTCTCACTCTTGTTCAAATTCAATTCCTGCAATAACAAGCATTATAAATACGGTATCAGAAAATATCTAAATCACAGAGAAATCTACATGCTTCAAGTTCGATTCCAAAATCAGCAGAAGCTCGGATATACATCATTATCTCTACTAGTGGATGTTGATTAAAACAAAGGGGAGGGATCATATATTAAGGTCTAAAACAACCTCAACTAAGAAAGGCAACCATATACAGAAAGCAGATATGCATATATAAAGATGCGCGCACACACACATACAAGGGAAGAAGGAAGGATGGCAGGGGCAGCTCACCACCTCCGGATGGAAACTGGCTGCATGCACACAGATATGAAGGGTCGTTCTAATTACACATAGGGCGCTAGCTATGTTTACATCCATCGATAACTTTGTATCGAATTGGTTTTCTATCAACTGAAATTCTCATCTAAAAACCGTATTAAGTTAAAGTTTAAAAGCCCTTCCAAATACATTAACGAAGGAGTAGGTCACAAATTATCCGATCGATATGAAATTAACGTGTCTAAGAGATGGAGTCATCAAGTAGAAGCTCTTACAGGTGCTGTCTGACGATAGTATGCATTATTATACTCTCTTTCCAGGCCACCATTGCTGAAATGGGAATTCCCTACGAAGGCAATGCACTAGATGTTACAGGTTGCAATGCTAAAATTCAATCGCCAAATTTGCAAGCAAGACAAGATAATATAAAGAACAAAAGTCAAAATTCAACTAGAAGACAAAGAAAATTTCCAATTAACCAACATTAACTTGATATCCATTCACCAGTAAGCAACTACCTGAAGGAAGCCTCTTGTGGTGGCTAACCCGCCTACCGGTGAGAGCATGTTGCCGGTCAAAAAGCTGAAGAATCCCATTCATACATCCTATTTGCTTCTGCAAATCTGGATTGTCATCAGCTAAGGAATGCAGAAGTTTTGCAGCCATCTTCCCACCTCCTCCAAGTGAAGACAATTAATTACTCTCACTTCCTAAACATCTACTGTTCTATGTTCAAGCCGGAGAATTGCAGCATTTCATCCCCCATCTGCAGGAAAATTGAATGTCAAGCTCATCGAAAATTTCGGAACCAATAAGCAATTCACAACCATCAATGGCAGCCAGAACAAAAATCAGTAATGTGACTTACAATATTCCATCGCGTATTTAAGCAGTAGCCTCCTCAACAAAATGCAAACCCAGCAGCTCAATGGGGCTCCTTTCAATCAACTTTCCTCATTCGTGCAATTCCAAACACAGCTTCCCAACCGAAGTTACCACAAAATCAAGTCTTCTTTAAAAATCACTTTCTCCAACTGCTTGCAGCCCAAAGAAGATAACTTTTATCTTCTTCCAAAAAACCCACCATACAAAAATGTCCTTTTCAATAAAGATCCAAACTTTCACAACATTTCCACTTCTACCATGAATTTACTTTCAGGGTTTTCCTCAATTTTCCAAAATCTCATATGCTTTACAAGAGAAAAATTGGAAAAAAAAAGGTATACCCACAAAACCAAATCCAATCCAATCCGATCCAATCAGTGAGGGAAAGAAACCTTATTGGGTTTCATCTCACAGAACAGACCAGACAATGGCTTGTGGAAGAAGCACAAAAGGGCCAAAGAAACTCAGGACTCTGAGGACCCAGTTTACGCCAATGAGCACACAACATCCAGAGTTATAAAAAACATTCACCTTCAATTGCCTAAAAGAAACTAAAACCAATGCAAACGTGCAAAGGAGGAATCTTTTTGTGGATCCAAGAGAAATACGAGATGTTTTTCCTCAAATTACAGATGGAAAGACACCCCTCCACCCTCCCTGGTGTCTCTTCTCTCTCGTGACGGCCTCCCCGCTCCGCCTACTTAATGCTTCATTTTCTGCTGCTTTTGTTTCGTTTCTGCACTGTTTTTCTTGTTCCTCTGCCTTTGTGGCTTTTACGAAGCATCTTTTGAACAAACAAAAAAACAGATGGAAAGACAGCTTTGCAGATTGGGAAGGTTTGTTGTTTTATGGAAATTGGGCAAATGTGTTAAACAAATCTTGTGGACTTGCGATAGAGTTAGATTTGAGACTTGGCAAAAATTAAAAAGAAAAATAAAAGAGGGGGTTTTTCTTCTAGAGAGAGAGTGTGTGTTGTGTGGGGCAGATGTAATTTAGGCTCTCTCTCTCACATCCATGTGGGATGAAGATGTGGGTGGTTGTCTGCATGTGCATGTGCTACTGTCAGGAAAGAGAGAGAATTATATTTTTCTTTGGAAACTTGGAGTTGCCTGCAAAAGTCCAAGTTCCTGGTACTTCAAAAAGACTAGTCAGGTGATGATTTTTACCATAACACCAAAGGAGAAGTTCTTTTCTATAAATTACAAGCGATAGTAAGAAGATTAACTTTTATCTAACGGATTCACAGCTATGATGATATTTTGAGTCAATAAAATTATGATGATATTTCGAGTTAATAAAATAAAGATACATGAAAGTTTTTGTCTATATTTTTTTATGTTAATGGCAGGGAGCACAATGCGGCGAAGAATCTGTCATATAAACTGTCCTTCTAGGAGAAAATTGAATTTGAGAACCTAGTTTACAAAGATAAAATGTTATAAACTACTTAAGCTCAAGTCTTATGCAGAAGCTAATAGCATTTTATGAAAATATTAACCATTTTCTAGAGTAAAAACACACATCAAGTATGAACACTTACAAACATTTATCAGATACGGTGCATTAACCAATCAGATGGTGTGGTAAACGTTGAAGTGATGATGCACCGCTCAATAAATAATTTCAAGCATTTGCAAAAAATACGTGTTAATATTGTAGTCGGATTGTTTTCAAAACAAGTTCTTACAGTTTGAAATTTACATCGCATATTTTGAAAACAATCCTTTTGTTTCCAAAGTCTATTTCAATTTGCAAGGGCATTGACAATGTGTGTGTGGGCATTCATAACAATGCCAATGTTTTCAACAGTATCGTATATTTAAAATAAAATTGAAAGGGGGTGAATCCTATCAAGGATCCTACGTGAGTAACGTGACTGGTGGCTGATGAGTGGTTGCTGGTATTTAATTAAATCTATCTATAAATTGAGTTGAATAATGCCCACCTGCTCAAGTTGAATGAAGGGTAATTGGGAGTTGGTTTGGTTCTCACGGGCCAAAGGAATTACTTACAGAACTATTATTGATATTCTAAAAACTTAATTGTTCATTTGTTATAAGTGTGTTTTTTCTTTTAATTATGGAAAGTTTGAAGTCCACAAGTGCAAATAACAATTCCTTGGAGCCTTTTGTTTTAACATGGAGATTCCTAACTGTGTTGCAGTGAAGATAATAGCGGTAATTAAGACTATTGAATTAGCTTTAGTTTCGGGATTGAATTTTATTTGGTTGGAAGTTGATTCTGCTTTGGTTCTTGACTTATTGTGCTCTCCTCAATTGGTTCCTTGGCAATTGAAAGTCGAGTGGAGGAATTGCTTGCATAGAAATTTCCAAATGTAATTATGGTCTTCTCACATTTATAGGGAAGGTAATCAAGTTGTTGATTGCCTTGCAAATTATGGTTCCTCTTCTACTACTCTTGTTTGGTGAGATTCTTCATCTGATTATATTTTGTCATATTACCATCGTGATTATGTAGGACTTCTGTACTATCACTTTAGATAGGTTATCTTTTGTTGATCTTATTATATCTTGTATTGGTTGATGGTATGAGATGTTTTTCATCAAAGAACATATGGGAAGACAGCTATCGCAGATTGGGAAGGTTTGTTGTTTTATGGAAATTGGGCAAATGTGTGAAACCAATCTTGTGGACTCGTGAGAGTATAAATACTTGAGAGTTGGGAAAAATTAAAAAGAAAAATAAAAGATGGGGTTTTATTCTAGAGAGAGTGTGTGCTTTTGTGGGGGCAGATGTAATTTAGGCTCTCTCTCTCTCTCACATCCATGTGGGATGTAGTTGTGGGTGGTTCAAAATCTGTCTGCATGTGCATGTGATAATGTCAGGAAAGAGAGAGAGAGAGAGAGAGAGAGAGAGAGAGAGAGAGAGAGGACTTGCCTCTGCTCCCTTCTACCTGCAAAAGTCCAAGTTCCCTTCCCTTCAAAGACTAGTCAAGTTACCCTAAATGCAAAGGAGAAGTTCTTTTGGAAACTTGGAGGGAGAAAGGACTTGCCTCTGCTCCCTTCTACCCGCAAAAGTCCAAGTTCCCTTCCCTTCAAAGACTAGTCAAGTTACCCTAAATGCAAAGGAGAAGTTCTTTCCGATAAATTACAAGCGATAGCAAAGAGAATATGGCACGAATTTATCGTTATATTAACGTCACGAGTCAATATAATGAAGACACGTGAAAATTTTATCTATATTTCTTTATTTAATGGCACGGAATGTCATGTAACGATGAACTTGTATTATGTAAATTGCTCTTCTAGAAGAAAATTGAATTTGAGAACCTAGTTTACAAAGGTAAAATGTTCTAAACTACTTAAGCTCAAGTCTCATGCAGAAGCTAATGTCATTTTATGAAAACATTAATCATTTTCTAGAGTAAGAACACGAATCAAAAGTACGAACACTTACAAACAATTTATAAGAAACTGTGTATTATCCAATCAGATGGTGCGGTAAATGTTGAAGTGATGATGCACCACTCAATAAATAGTTTCAAGTGTTCGAAAATATATGTGTTAATACTGTAGTCGGATGTGTTAAAGGCAAATATGCGAGTACCATTTATCTAAAAGAAAAATTGAAAAAAAGGTGAATTAATGTTGTCAAGGCTCCTGACCACGAGCTGGTGGTTCAGTGGTGAATGAAGGATTACGAGACTTTCTTAAAACTAAAAACTGAAGGTATCGGGTTCGAAACCCGTTGCTTATGTGAAAGCCATACTTGTGGCTAGGGGAAGGCTGAAATGCCATTGTAAGTCTTCCCGACCTCCAAAAAAGATAGATAACTGTGACTTGTCATTGATTATCTTCCTTTATTAAAAAAAATAAAATAAAAATGTTGTCAAGGCTCCTACGTGCCTTGTGGCTGATGAGTGGTTGCTGGTATCAATTAAATCTAGCTATAAATTGAGTTGAATAATGCCCACCTGCTCAAGTTTTATTTGATTGAAAATAAAGACCATTTAAAAGGTTCTTATTTTTTTTTTAATAATCGGCCAAAGAAATTATTATTGACACTTTAAAATTTTAATTATATGTTTTTTTTATAAAATATTTTTTCTTCTAAATAAAGAAAGTTTGAAGAACCACAAGTATAAATAAAAAATAAATAAAAAAAGAAGAACCACAAGTATAAATAGCATTTTCTTACAATTATTTTGGCATTGTTACGTAATGCTATTAATTTCTTCAGGCTAGTAATATTAACTGATTAAATTTGATTAATTTGTTTTAGATTGAAGTGTCACAATTATATAAAACAAAAGTTCTCCTAATTATACAGATGGAATATGTTTGTAGTGCACTAAATTCAAAATAAAAATAAGAAATTAATAATTTGTGGAAAGTAGCTTCTTTGTCAACTCTTTTAAGGTTTAACCGAATGGCCCTCTGCCTTTTTGGAAATATATTAATCCTAATATTTTTTAGGAATGATTTATTTATGAAGAAAATAATTGTTGCAGTTAGGGGAATATTATAACTAAAATACCAATATGAGCATCTGAAGACATGTTAACCATAACAATTTAGAAGAGTCCACCTAATCTGAAGAAATCATATACTTAATCTCAACTCATTAACAACGAAAACTAAAAAATCCATAGAAAACTGATATAATTAAGAAGCTTCCATGGCTGCTGTTGTTGTAATGTGTGGGTTGTATGAAGTCCCCGTGCTTCGAGTCCTGCAAACACAACATTAGAGTATATATAACGAAAATTCTATCATGCTTCTGCGTTTTTGCATAAAATATACCAAAACATATTAAAAAAATGTTTTGTAATACTGAAACTAATTAAGAATTAGGAATGCTGTTTAGAATCTTTAAGCACTTGCTTCTCCACCATCTCTCTCTCTCTCTCCCTCTCTCTCATTAACAATTTGACATGCTCTGGCTATAGCAATAACAAACTAATCTGCAGGCTGCAGCCCCTATATTAACACTTATTTATCTATTTGATGGATTCTGTGACTAAGGTTTTTTTTTTTTTTTTTTGTTAATTTTTTTATTTAACGTAGAAGGAAGAATCAAATTTAAAACTTCTTCTGACATTAAAAAGAAGAGTTATACTATCTAGTCTAGTTGGTTTACAATTAACCTTGTTAATTAGGGTATTGTTATGATTCTTTAGGAACATATATCATAAATCATATGTGTTTGGTACTATATAATTGCTTTGAAATTTAGAGAAAGTTAACGTACTGCATGTGCTTTGCTAGCTAATCAGTGACCAGCCTTCGATCGCTTATTAGAAAGTGGAAACAGATTCTTCAAACACACGGAAAAGTCGAACCAAGAAAAGCCAAATGATGAAAAGGTGATGGTGATATTAATTACAACTGATGGTGGAAGATTGGAGAACAATTTATACATCGTGTTGTTTTGTATTAATCAGGAGTCTTGGTGCAACGAGTTTGATGCTTTTTTGTCGTGAAAATAGTTTTTTTACAAAGTAAGAATAAGGCTGCATACAATGCATGTTTCTCCCTCTCCCTCAATCGTCGTAAAGCAGGAAATCTTGTTGGCTTGGGATCGTAATTTGATATTTTATATTGATCCTACAATATCACATGAAAAAAAAACTCACAACAAAAAATTATATATTAACACAAGACATTACGATGATGGTATAACCATATTATGCAACTCCTTCTCGGAAGATTGAGACAAAAAATTCATGCATCTTTTAATTTTGCACACTCATAATTTGATGACAAGTGAAGGGAAAGCAGACGTGCTATGCCTGAACTCCATCAGGGCAGACCCAACTAACCCATCTCAATCATCATAACCCATGTTTGAAGGAACACGTAATTACTCATTCGCCCCCACTCTTTAATTGATTGGCAAATTATGCCCAACTTCTATGCAATTATTCCTCTTCCCCACAACTAATCATCTTAATCATTGGGGACATGGACATTACACTTCAAATTCATCTATTTAATTAGTATGTAGGACTGTTGTAAGGGAATTATAAAACAACTATAAGATTGATGAAATCATACAGGTATATCCAATCAATAATAGGTCATTAATTATTATCAAGGTCGAAATTAGGGCTAACTGAAGACGTATTTTCATCTCTACAATATTCATTGGGAGATTATATTCACACACCTAAAATTACTTCTTCCAGACCTTTTTAATTTTTTAAATATTTTTCTATCAAGTGTTAGTGGTGTGTAGAAAATATTAAAAAATAAAAAAGGTGTGAGAGAAGTAATTTGGGATGTGTGAATATAATCTCTCTATTCATTACGTGATCAAATACTCTGATGAGTGTTATATATAAACACTTGATAGAAAAATATTAAAAAATTAAAAATGTGTGGGAGAAGTAATTTAAGGTGTGTGAATATAATCTCTATATTCATTACATGATCAAATACTCTGATGATGAGTGTTATATATAAAGTTATGTGAATGTATTTAGGTGATATGTAAGAATTCTACATAAAGCGAAAAATTACAAAATGACAGTTTACGAATAAAATATCTTTATGCCCCACATCGTGATTGAGTGCCCACATATGAAAACATGCATGCACGATGGAATCACATATATGTTCTAAGAAACATGAATTTGCTAAGCTTAATTAGGTTATAAGAAACATATCAATCGATGGTCTACTTTCTTGTCCAAATAATGGCTTCAAAATGAACTCTATCTAAGCTTGATTAGGTTTTAAGAAAGCTCACTTTCTGATATAATGTGAATATATATATATATATATATATATATTTTTTTTTTTTTACAGGCAATAATCAATATAAAATACATATGAAGATTAGTGAATCAATCTTTCAGAAATATCAAATATATACCGACCTATACAGGTACAAGTTGGATAAAATATTTCGATTTGAAATTAACACCAAGAAGACCAGAGAGTTTTGGTGAACCAAGCCAGAAAACTGATTTGCCAGATCATCCGAATCCAACCTCATTTTTCAGCACATGCCCTGGTTGATCATATTTGAATAAATAAAAATAAAACCCTAACCTCACATTAATCATGAGTTGGGTTTTCTAAATAGCCTTCAAGAATTGCACTGCATTATAGATAATGTTTATTAATCAATGATAATTAATTAGACTTAACGAGCTCTTCGTGATGAAATTGTCTCTTGAAATTCGAATAAAATTTTAAGTTGCGTCACACAACAAATATAATTATGCCGTGTATTTAAAAAATGAATCACCTGTTCAGTAGTTTTGCCACAAAGTAAAACGTCTCTAAAAAAAGTTGGCCCAACTAGATTAAGTTTTGGTGGACCCAAGAGATGAACAAGCTTAGGGTTCACCATATCTGCTAGCTGAAATATACAGGGCAGGCGCATGGAATCTGATTTGGTTGGTATGTTATCCCTTAGCTGAGATATATGATTTATATAAGCAAGGGCAAAGCCAACGAGATGTGATTTTACCTCCAAACTCAAAGCATAAGATCTTGCAAAAACGTAGTGGTTGGGTAACCAGTTTCAATCAACTGTCAACGCCAACTATCTGCATGAAGTTGAAGACGATGGTGACAGTGAAGAGGATGGTGAAGAAAAATTATTTCGGGTCCACTGTTCTTTAGCTGTCATCTGTATGGGCATTTAATGACGGCGATTACACACTCAGTCATCGTCTTGTTTACGTGATAATCATCTTCGACAAAGAGGGGATTCAAACTCAAGACTTCTAATGACGAGGTAGAGATTATCTTAATCGTGTGAGTTACAAGCAGGGTGATGAAACACACATGGGGTCATCTAAACCCTAAACTCTAAACCCTTCGCTACCTTACCGGAATATACGCTCTACTCTTAGATCTCTGTACACTTGGTAAACAAATACTGAAACGTAACAAAACAACAAAGGGAACTTTAACGAAAAGCTCCCGTTAGTGTTCACTTTAACGAAAACCACACATAACTGAAAGTTGCGCCGTAAGGAAGTTACAAACATCAAGGATTCAAGTCACAATCTATAATTTCACATCAATAACATTGTAAATACTTCCCTCTTCTCAGAAGCCGTGGTCTTCCCTCGTTCGCGGATGGAACCGCAGTCTGTCCTCCGGACTTTATTTCCGATGCTGAGGGAAGGTTGCCCGATGACGTCGATCCTCTCTACGAAGCATGGATCCGGCAGGGTCAATTGGTGCTGCCATGGTTGGCGAGTTCACTAACACCAACTTTCTCACCGTCATTGTCAACAAAATTCGCACAAAGATGACGATTAAGCACTCATTCATCATCCTGTTTGCATAGTACAAGAAAACCATACTCGAGGAGGAGATTCAAACTCGCCATAACGGTTTAGAGGTAAATGTTCTAAACCACATGAGTTACATGCGGAGTGAAGACTATAAACAAAAACTCTTGTAGTCTGGTACGTCACATGAACCATATAACCAAAAAACCGAAGATAATAAGAATGTCGCTTATATAAAAAACCGAATATAATTAAGCCAACAAAATTCAGTAGCAAACTCTTTGAAGATATTGCATTTCTTACCTAAGTAAAAAAAACGCTCTATCCTTCTAGCTCTGTATGCTTGGTAAACAAAAAACCGAAACAAAACAACGAATGTACTCTTACATGTTAACTGAGAGCTGGACCGCTAGGAAGTGAAAAACATCGAAGGATCCAAGCGCACAAGAAAGGCTTCTGAAGAAGAAGCTGCCGAACAATTTCATCTTGACCGGAAGCACAAGGTTTATGTGGGTTGCCAATGCAACTTACACAATTATTCGTTGCCATAGAGGTGTTTAGAATCAACTCAGGAACCCGTTTCCTGAGTAACTTTAGCCAACTGCAACTCTGCCGGCCAATACAAGTAATGGTATCAATTTTTGGGTGACCGCGCTTGATCCTCTAAAACTTGACTATAAAATTCCCATGATTTAGCATTTGCTGTTATGGGGCCTTGACCAAATCGATGGTGCTTCACATATTCTTGAACATTTGGAGCGTAAACTAATCCTTCCAGATAACGACGAATATTGCCTCCAACCCCTGTGATGAACCAAGTGTATAGTTGCATATTACACCAAATCATTATGTAAAAAGTATTTGATAGTAGAAAACAAAAACAGAAAATAAAATGATATTATGACTCAAATGCCATCCGAAAAAATAGAACGAACGATAGGGGATGACACTGCAAAAGACAAGTAATTGTAATAAAACACCTGGAAGCTAAAATTTCACACCAGTAACATTGGAAATACTTGGAAGTAAAAGTAATTGAGTACTACTTAGAGAAGTAAACAAAAACATTGAGGTTGAGAATAGATAAACTGAAAATCATAAATTCAAAAACCTGGAGGAACCTACAGACATAAAGCTTTGAAGCCGCACAAACGTGCATAATACTTGCAAGACATAACGGCAAAACTAGGTCCACACGTGGATCAAATTTTAACCAACGTAATTCTTTTAGCTGAGATCGACCATGTGCAATGCAAACGTGAATGAGGCTAGAATGTGTGATATACATGCAACCCTTGATCTCCTTACATTTCCAAATACACAAAAACTTGAACGGTATCTCACCTAGCGATCTATCCATTCGATTCTTGAAATGATATGGGAAGGGAAATATTGCTGTGTTCTCCTAAGCAATAAAAAACAAAAGTATTAGTTTCAGGCTGTAACTTTTGTACTTAAACCAAGAAATAAAGAGGAAAGAGTTGATCAATTAACTGGATTGCATAAAGCTTTGTATGGAGAATCATCCACTAATAATGTGTTTGTCTCGTTGTACTCTCCCCTCGCCAATGGAAGATCAGGATCATGCTTCTCCCATAACTTTCTAAGTTCTTTCAAAACAAGGGGTTTTTTCTCGTTGTCAAGAGTTTTGAACTTCGTTTTAGTACAGTGGGATTGATTCTGCATAACACCAATCGTTGTAAGAATAATGTAATAGAATTGAAATCAATGCAATGCAATTATGAATTGATTCACCCAAAATACAAGTTCTACAAATTGCAAAAGTAACACTAAATTACTTTACTGGATAAGTTTGATTACAGGGGATTGTCTTACAAACTATACCGAAGAAGTCCTTACCCAGCAAAAAAACAATTTCTTTTTGGAAATTCCCAAAAGATAATCCACCACCTCATCCACGTTCTTCCTGAAAAAGCGAGTGTAAAATATCATAACCCAACAAAACCGGAAATGAGAGAAGGAACAGGTGTATCAGTCCTGGAATGAAGTTTACTTGTTTCTTGAAGACCAAATAGCCACGTTAAAATAGTCAAAGCAGAACAGTAGAAAAGAATCATAAAATGGCCTCTTAAAAACTGCAAAAAAAAAAAAACATGTGGGGATTAGATTTCATTAAGGCTAGAAAAGTATATAACTCTCCATATACATTTAAATGTAAATTATCACCTGATTTCCTCGATATCATTGTGTCTGGTTTATACAGTTTAATCTGCTGGGGAACCAGTTGAACAATATCTGCAAGAAGCCCGTTTACATCAAGAATGAGAAGCTTTTTCTTAGAAACGCTAACAAGAGGTCTTTCAACAGCCCAATTTGGTATCTGGGAACGACTGCCTTCCTTCGCCACAGCACCCAAATCAACTTGGCCAGGAAAGCCAGCGCAAACTTGGTGGTTGGTGTTGTTATTCCCTAAGGCATTAGATCTCTTGTTCTGATCCTTGTCCTCATTTTTCTCCTTTAAAGTACTTTCCTCCAAAAGTAATTGTACCACGTCTAGGTCTGATACTACTGCTACCGGAGGCTGTGGAGATGGATCCACTCCTGGAATAATCTTCTCCACTAAAGTACCAACAGAAGGATCAGAACTTGTATCATTACTCTTACGCATTTTAAGCCTTTTCTTCCGATCCTTTCTCCCTTGTGAGCAACTCAAAACTTCAATGAGTTCGATATTCTCAGAATTGATTCTTTGTCTAATTCCCTCAACAAGAGGTTTTTCCACTTCTAGATCTTGTTTTGAGAACATTGCAACTGGAGGCTGTACAGTAAGATCTACTCCTGGAAAAGTATTTCCTCCTAAAGCAGTACCAACAGAAAGATCATATCTTTCATCAATACACTCATTGGTCTTATGCCTTCTCTTTCGCTTCTTCTTCTTCTGTTCTTGTGAGCAACTCAAGTCCACAGTAAGCGACTTGGGACCTTCTGAACTTGCTGCCGCGCTATTTCCCTCCACAAGTGGTTGTGGCAAATCTAGTTTTTCCTCTGAGAATTCCGAGTCTGGAGGCTGCTGAGAGGGATCTATTCCTGGCATAAAATTTTCCTCAAAAGGAATACCAACTGAAAGCTCACAACTTTTGTCATTACTCTCCCGGGTTTTAAACTTTTTCTTCTTTTTTCTTGAGGAACTCAAATCTTCAATAGGTTCAGAACTTTCTGAATTAATTTTCGTGCTAATCCCATCGATAAGTGATTGTGGCAATTCTAGCTTTTGTTCTGAGGATTCTGAGACTGGAGGCTTTTGAGACAGATCTACTCCTGGCACAATATTTTCCACTAAGGAGCTACCAACTGAAAACTCACCTCTTTTGTCATTCTCACAACTTTCATCATTACTCTCCCGGGTTTCTGACTTTTTCTTCTGTGTCTTTTTCTTCTTTTTTCTTGAGGAACTCAAATCTTCAACAGGGTCAGAACTTTCCGAATTGATTTTTGCATTAATTCCTTCCATAATGGGTTGTAGCAATTCTAGCTTTTGCTCTGAGGATTCTGAGACTGGAGGCTGTTGAGATGGATCTACTCCTGGCATAATACTTTCCACTAAGGAAATACCAACAGAAAGCTCACAACCTTTGTCATTACCCTCCCTGGTTTCAGAATTCTTCTTCTGATTCTTTTTCTTCTTTTTTCTTGAGGAACTCAAATCTTCAATAGGTTCAGAACTTTCTGAATTAATCTTTGCGCTAATTCCTTCCATAAGGGGCTGTGGCAATTCTAGCTTTTGTTTCGAGGATTCTGAGACTGGAGGTTGTTGAGGTGGATGTACTCTTGGCATAATATTTTCCACTAAAGAAACACCAACTGAAAGCTCACAACTTTTGTCATTACCACAACTTTCGTCATTACTCTCCCGGGTTTCAGACTTCTTCCGAGTCCTTTTCTTCTTTTTTCTTGAGGAACTCAAATCTTCAATAGGTTCAGAACTTTCTGAATTAATTTTCGTGCTCATTCCTTCCATAAGTGGCTGTGGCAATTCTAGCTTTTGTTTTGAGGATTCAGAGACTGGAGGTTGTTGAGGCAGATCTCTTCCTGGCATAATATTTTCCACTAAAGAAATACCAACTGAAAGCTCACAACTTTTGTCATTACCACAACTTTCATCATTACTCTCCCGGGTTTCAGACTTCTTCTGAGTCTTTTTCTTCTTTTTTCTTGAGGAACTCAAATCTTGAATAGGTTCAGAACTTTCTGAATTAATTTTCGTGTTCATTCTTTCCGTAAGTGGCTGTGGCAATTCTAGCTTTTGTTCCGAGGATTCTGAGACTGGAGGTTGTTGAGGTGGATCTCTTCCTGGCATAATATTTTCCACTATTGAAATACCAACTGACAGCTCACAACTTCTGTCATTCCCACAACCTTCATCATTACTCTCTTGGGTTTTAGACTTCTTCTGAGTCTTTTTCTTCTTTTTTCTTGAGGAGCTCAAATCTTTAATAGGTTCAGCAATTTTTGAGTTTTCATTTGTGCCAACTCCCTCCATAGGTGGTTGTGCCATTGCCACCTGTTCCACTTGTTCAGGGAAGTCTACGACAGAAGGCTCTACAGAATGATCTACCGTTGGCATAATAGTTTCAGCTAAAGATGTACCAACAGAAATATCACAATTTTTATCATCACTCTCACGGATTTTATGCCTTTTATCCTGCTTCTTTCTCTTCTTTTTTCGCTCGTGAAACAAATCTTCTTGCTGTTCTTGCTTTTCTGAAATTGCCGTGCAAATTACAGCAGAAGACTCCGGGCATGAATTTTTAGATTCTAGGGCAACACCTATTGTATCCTTCTTCTTTCTCTTCCTATTAGTCAAGCCTCCCTGAGGAGGTAACTCAGCTGGTACCAAATCAGAAATGATACTCATTGAAGGCTCATCCATCAGTGTATCAGTCCCAAGTGAAGCATTATGATGTTCATCCCTAGCCAAATACTGCACACAATTTTTTTTTTCAGGAGTAACATTCCCAACTGAAAGTGTACCCTTCAAACAGCATAGATCTGAATCATCAAGATTTGGGGCATGACTTCTCTGCACATTATTCTGGGATTCCACTGGGTTTACCAGAATGTCCAAGCTTTGCACTGGATCGAAATTATTAATAACTTTAGCACCACTGCTCCTAGCTCTCTTCCGCTGTCTCTTCGGCAATACAGCAGGCAGGGTTTCAGTTAGAGGCAAATTTGCACTAATATTTACTGAAGGCTCCTCCAACAAAGCATTGTTCATGGACTCATTGAGCTTCTCTGAGTACTCCTTTTCTGACTGTGAATTTGGTTTTTCATTACAAACTGCAGTTTCCATATTGATCAGTAGATAATCACTGGGAAATCTTCTCCTTGAATTCAAGCATTGTCAACTCAAATTGTCTTCTCCATAATTTTTCTAACACCTGAAAGAATGGTCAACATAAACGAAAAAACAGATTCGTAAGACTTTTCTGCATTTTCCACAAGTAATAAAGAAAAACACGCTAATTCATTCAAATAGAGATAGAACACCCAGAAGCCAATATCATTAAACACATGCTTGGATTTCAAAATTACAAATTTCATACCAAATGCAATTAAAAAATCATAATAAAGTAGTAAAAGAATCAGTCCAGGGTGTATATTCACATAAGCACAATAGCCGGATCTGTAGGTTGTTATACGCATCAACAACAACAACAAAGCCTTTTCCCACTAAGTGGGGTCGGCAATATGAATCCTAGAACGCCATTGCGCTTGATTCTGTATCACGTCTTCTGTTAGATCCAAGTACTCTAAGTCTTTTCTTAGAGTCTCTTCCAAAGTCTTCCTAGGTCTTCCTCTACCCCTTCAGCCCTGAACCTCTATCCCGTAATCGCATCTTCCAACCGAGCGTCAGTACGCCTTCGTTTCACATGTTCAAACCACCGTAACCAATTTTCTCTCATCTTTCTTTCAATTTCGACTACTCCTACTTTACCTTGGATAACCTCATTCCTAATCTTATCCTTTCTCGTGTGCCCATACATCCAAGGAAGCATTCTCATCTCCGCTACACCCATTTTATATACGTGTTGATGCTTCATTGTTATACGCATATTCACTTAAAATCAAAATTCAAATTAACAAGATAACCAATGATAATAGTAATAAACTGAACCAAAGGATCCATGAAGCTGATGGGAAACTTCTAGCTGATGATCGACCTCCGCTATAACCAACGGACTTAATTTTTCAGCAGTCATATAACAATAGGACTAAGTAATTTGCTTCATATGAAAATGGGATTGAGTAGTCTGCTTCGTATTACCAAAGGGATTAAGTAATTTTCTTATTCTAATAAAGAATTTGAAACTTTGTAACATTGAAAATTCGAAAATTGCACTCAATCAGCTGATACACACAGGACTGAGATGGGATTAATAATTTTCTTCGTACAACAATGGGATTAATCCATTTGCATCATATTAATGAAATGGTTATGTACTTTCCTTATTCTAATGAAGAAATCGATCCTATCGAAAATTTGCACTCAATCAGCAGATATACACAGGACTGAGATGGGATTAAGTAATTTTCTTCATATAACAATGGGATTAAGTCATTTTTTTCTTCATGTAAACATTGGGATTAAGTATATCCATATTGAAAACCCGAAAATTACACACAGTCACCTGATATACAAAGAACTGAACACCCATTGAAATGCATTCACAAACAATCAAGCAATCAAATTAACAGCTCAAAATTAATTTCAAAGCAATAACACAATCACCATTCAGAAGCTAATCAACAACAATTATAAATAATAATAATAATAATAATAATATGAGCCGAAGCAAACAGGATAGAGATTAGTAAATCAAAAACGCAATTAATTCGTTAATTAACTAATTTTTTATCAGACGTTTCAAACTACAAAGAAAATAATAGTTAACGGAGAACCGACCTCTGTTCAATCGGCAATGTCAGCACCAAGCAGATCTCTGACGGCGGAAATAAGAGAAACCGCGGAGGAGCAACGGAATTGGCGGAGAAGAGAAGAAGCAGAAGAAGAGAGGAAAATGAATGAGTGGGAGGCGGAGGGAGTCGAAGCGGCGGCGAGTCGAAGCGGCGGCGAGTCGAAAGGTCGAAGCGTCGCTTTGGGTGCTGTGGTGGTAGTGCAAAATTGGCAATTGGAATTTTTAACCGCTTTTCGCTTCCGCTTCGATGCGCGTCTTCCTGTTGTTAACCTAGGTGGGCTATTTCGTCATTTTACAAGGTGTTTACTTTTGCGTTTTCATCCGCCGCCTCTGCGTATTCGGATTAGGGTTTCTCTGTGCTGGACTCTTTATTGTTGTTTTGGGCCTAGTTTTCTGTTAATGGGCTGATGAGGTCTCATTTGGCCCAAATGGTGATTTTTGTTTTGGTGAAAAGGCCCAAATGTTGAAAGTTCCGCCCTTAAGTAGTTTAAATTAAAGTAAAATATTCCAAAAAGAAAATTAAAAGTAAAAAATATGATAAAAAAAAATGATAAATTGTAGCAATGGTCTCTTAAATTTAACTGAATTCATTACTATTGATCATTCAACTCATCAAAACGTGCATTTATGATCCCTCAACTAAAAATTCATTATCATTGGTCCCTCAACTTTAATCTAACTGGATAAATAGTCCATCAACTTTAACCAAATTGGAGCAATGTGGTCTCTTAATTCTAACCTAACTAGCAATGATCTTTCTAACATAATTCATTTTGACAAAATTCTGACGAAATTGATGAAAATGACCATAGCTATACATTTTGACGAGTTGAGAGACCAATGGTAATAGATTTTTAATTAAGAGGTTATTACTCTAATTTGATTAAAGTTTAAGGACCGTTGCTACAATTTACTAAAAAAAACACATCGAATATTGAAAATATCTTCTGATAGTGGGCCCCAGCGCATGCGATTTGAATTTCAGTATAAATTCAGAAAGTTGCCGCTGGCTTTGCTTTACTACTCAGTGCTCTCGCGACTCAGATCTGAAGTCCAAACAACACAACGCAGCGCTCTCACGGGTAACTCTCGCTCGCTATCTCTATCTGCTGTTTGTTTCCCGAGAAAATACGGGAAAATTATGTATAGAAATCTTCTGAAATTAGCTAAACTGAATAATTTACTCTACATTTGATGGATCTGTATCGGAATTTACAGTCGTGATTTTACTGTGGAATCGCTTCTTGTTGTTGTTGTTGGTGATTGCTTTTATTAGTTTGTTATGATCTTGTGAACATTGTGCATTTTCTTTGCTTAATTTTGATTCTCATGGATTAGCTAGAAATTTTCGGATTGCAGATGTGTAAATTTGTTTAATTAAGCTGATTAATTGCAAATTTGCAATAGCTTGAATCCATCTTTCATTACTGTTTTCGGGTCAGATTTCGTACTCGGAGTTTGAGTTATGGCCGAGGAATTGAATTTCATGGTCCTTTAGTAATTTGATATGAGATCCGGAGTTGCATTATTGGCAAGGTTGGGTTTTGATCATTTGATGTTATGAATTAATGAAAAATATGAATTTCGAGATCCGGAGGCATGAATTGTGGCGTAATAGCACAAAATGTATCGGAGATAAACAACAACAAAGCCGTATCCCACTAAGTAGAGTCGACTGTATGAATCTTAGAACGCCATGTGGTGGCATTTTCTTGCTTTCTTTCTGATTCATGCAATCCTGAATACATTTTGGTTGGTATTGCTTTGTGTTGGTTTCATTGATTGTTATTTAATTGGTTGGAAAACTATGTGCAGTATCCATTCATTCGAGGAGAGGAACATGGGTCGTGGAGTCAGCAGCGGAGGGGGAGAAAGCTCTTTGGGCTATCTGTTTGGAGGTGGAGAAGAAACTCAGAATCCCGTGGCGAAAAGGGGTGCAGCTCCTCAGAACCAGGCGCCGGTTCCAACTGCCGAACCACCTGCTCAGAGGGCTACTGCTCCCGCACCACCTGCAGAAGTCAATAAGGAGATTCCCGCTGGCGTACCTGGGAACACTTCAAACAACTATTTCCGAGCTGATGGCCAGAACTGCGGCAACTTCATCACAGTATGATCTTTGTTCATAGTCTTGTTTTGTTCGGTAGAAATTTCACCTGCATTTCTGTTTCTCTCGTGAAGAGATTGTTCGCAAATCTGTGATTCGCAGATTTGCATATTTTCTGATGTTCTTACTGGAAATTTGAATGTTCTTTGTCTTTCGCTAACAACTTTCATCACCCTTTCATGTTTGGTATTCACTGTTTATGGCTTTGAAAATTTGGTTGACAGGATCGACCATCAACGAAAGTGCACTCAGCTCCCGGTGGTGGATCATCCCTAGACTACCTGTTTGGAGGCGGTGGCGGTGGCGGTGGCGGTGGCAAGTGAAAGCCTCACGCCGCTGAAGTTGGAATCGTCAGTTTGGTCCTCGGGCACCTTTGTAACTTGGACCCTCTGTAGATGATTTCTCATCTCTTAACATTCTAGCACTTCCTGTGACGGGGATTTGTTGGGTTTAAGCTTTTATGCTGCTGAAACTTTCGAGTTAAATTGGCCGATGATATAATCGTTCACAAATTGCACTGCATGTTCTACAAGGTTTTCGTTTTAATCGAAATTTGTACAAGTTTGTTAGATCCTGTTCGGAAGGAAAGAAGCACACGAGAAGTGTTTCTCCATAAAGTCGCTTAAAAAATCACTTTGATGTTATTGAAACCCCTTTTTGGTGCTCGAATTTCGTAGTGTTCCTGAAAAATACCTAGGAACGAACCTTTTTTTCTCCCAACACTTCCGTATAGGATGAAATCAATTAACTGACAAATCAACATGAGTTAGGCTAGTTGGTCAAGGCAAAATCAATTAACCGACAAATCAACATGAGTTAAGTCAGTTGATCGAGGCAATGTGCTCTCCCATTTTTTACTCAAATTCGAATCTCCCTCTAGAAATTCGTTCAAGAAAACGTATGATCTTATAAAAAAGGGTAAATTGTAGCAATGATCCATCAATTAAAAATCTATTACCATTGGTCTCTCAACTCATTAAAATCCATTACCAATGGTCCCTCAACTTTAATCCATTACAATTGGCTTTCCAGCATAACTCATTTTGACAAATTCTGACGAAGTTGATGAAAATGACCATAGCTACACATTTTGATGGGTTGCAAGGCCAATGGTAATGGATTTTTAGTTGAGGGATCGTTGTTACAACTTACTTTATAAAAAATCAAAAACTAGTTTAAGAGATTGATAAACTTGCCCTAGCATCAAGATTCAAAGAACAGAATTCATGACCCGATAAAACCAGATAAAACTATCAATGTAACTAATTTCCATCTAACGAAGACTCTAAACCAAAACAAGAAAGGTAAAATTTAAGCTAAAAAGACCAAACTTCTTATGAGCAAAAGCAACCTCTCTTTTTTCCCCTTCAATTGGGAGGACCTAATCGAGAATTCGCCCGAGTTTTGATGAGCACTACAGACTAGAGTTTTAAACCTACGACTGTTATTGGAGGTTTGCAGATAACAACGGTAGGAAAATTCTGTGTCTCCCGTCATAGGCATCTATGATCTCCTTCGCATGATGAATGTACAGATACCTGGTGGTTTTTCATTTCTTGTTATGTTCAGAAGTAATACTCAATTTCAAATGGATGTTGCGTCGTTCTGTCCTTCCGATGTTAGTTTCCTGTCGCCTGCCATCAGAACAGCAAGAGACGATTGATCAGATTTGTTTCTCAACACATTGTTTTGGCATAACTCGTTATAGTAAGCATAAGCATCTGCGTACAATGCTGATGAGCCCGTAGCAAGGCAAATAAGTAGAAAAATACTCGTTACATTCCTACCTTGGTTTAGCGATGAAGCAGCAGCGGAATTAGCAACGGCAGACAAACTTTCCTTTGTAACTGCAGAGTTGAAATTTGGTGCATCAGCCGGCTTATGAGTCCTGTTGTCTCCCGCAACTTCAGAGGTCGAGTTTGGAGCATTATTGGTCTGATTTTTGCCCAGATTCAAAGGAACCTCTGACTGCTCGGGGTTTCCAGTAACCTGCAGAAGAGTCCAGGGTTTAGGTGCAACCCAATATATATTCCACAACAGATAACATTCAGTGTGCACAGGACAAACATAACAAATTTCTGCCCCTCTATCTGTTCAAGACAAGGGAAAGAAAAATCAGACCTTATGCAAGTGAGAAGCGGCCGAATATGCTTGATGGTTTGAAATGGAACCTGCAGCAGCTTCTGTATGCTCATGTGATACGGGCGCCTTTCCATGAACATTATCCATCAGATCTCCTCTAGAAGTTTTTGACTTGCTGCTGTAATCACCATTTGAGATCAAACCACCAGCTTCACCGGCAGTCCGCTTCCTGATAAGGGATTCACACGATCAAAGTTGAATCAAAATATTCAAATATATTAGTAATATATCTCAACAAAACACACACACACACACACACACACACATATAGACACCATATTCTTACCTGCTGGAATTAGGAATATCAATGTTAAACCCGGGCCGGTTTGGAAAAACTATACCACGAAGAAGCTTTCCATCAATAACAGTTTCAATTGCGTATCCATCAGCAAGTTTGTCAGTAACCTTTGCAACAAATGCCTTCTTCTCCGAAGAAAGCTGGGATTGATTCAAAGGGATATTCTGCCTGCCTGCAGTTATAGCACAAGATCATTCATGAATGACATCAAAATCCCTCCTCAAGTACATATTCAACCAGTGATTTTTTTTTCGATTATATTATTTTTCATTTTCTTTGAATAGATAACAAATAAAAGTTGCAAGTAGGGAACGGAAGTTTCAGTTACCCAGTGAGTTGAATGCAAACAGTCATAGCAAGGCCAAAACACAAAATGCAAATGGAGGTACATAGACATCGCAGCAAGTTAAACATAAAGCAGTATAGGTACAACGCTTCCCTTCAAGGAAGTATCTAAAAAAAAGTCAAGATTGGCCATCAGAAGTCAAGATTGGCCATCAGAGACTGTTAATCATATTGACAAGAGTTTAAAACGAAGAACCAAACGGTAGTCCTGTCCATCAGCAAATAATTTGAGCAAATAGTTGTGCTGCATCATTCACTGCGTCACAACTTGTGTTTGCAGAATCCAACAGCTGACTCTACCTCAGAACTTCGGTGCTTCACTCATAAAGAGATTGAATAGACAAGAAAACAAGGGACCTATGGCAAGCTCTCCGCCAAACATTTGAGGAAAAATAAGTCTAGGGCGAACACCACTTTGGCCATGGTTGGTAACAGTCAAACTAACACCATTAGATTGCAAGTATAAATGTATATAACACTATAATAACCTAACTTCTCATTTCCCTGTCCATTGAGAAAGAACCCTTGTTCTCTTCTCGGCTAAGAACCTAGATCATAGAACAGTAGACACCGAACCCTTCTTTGGTCCTTTAAAATGGTTAAGGGTCCGTTTTGGGTGAGGAATTTGGTGGCTCCAAGGGATTGGCAAGGATGGGAGCAGGACACGAATGTGTTTGTGCATGTTAGCCATTTGAAAAAACAATAAAAAATGAAGTCGTCTGAAAAAAAAAAAAGAGAAGAAGATAAATATATAAAAACAAAAACAAACATGATTCATTCTAATTTATTACATAACACGAAAACCACAGCAACTATTAGAATTGTACGAGTGGAGATCTAATTATCTGATTTTTCTCAGAAACCAAACAACAGCCACCAGGCTTGGAAATCCCAAATTCATCGAATTGGAGATTAGGCTCAGCTTAGTCGACAACGAATCAGATCTGAGCTTATGCTTCTGAGAAGTGGAAGCGCGGCCATCAGACCAGATGGCCTTGACCAAACCATTTCATCCAAACCAAGAGAGGGAGGGAGAGAGAGAGAGAGAGAGAGGGAGAAAGAGAGATACAGATGGGATGGAATGGGAATTGCACACGTGCAAGATTCGGCTCCAGCTTCGGCTTCAGATCTGGATACTGCTCCGGCTCCAACTTTGGCTTCAGCTCCGGATGCTGCTCCGGCTCTAGCTTCGGCTTCATCTCTGGATACTGCTCCTGCTCCAGCTTCAGCTTCAGCCCCGGATACTGCTCCTGCTCCAGCTTCGGCTTCAGCTCCAGATCCAGCTCCGGCTTTGGCTTCAGCCTTGGATTTTTTGTGCGCGTCGTCATCTGCTCAAGAGCTCGGTCTAGAGAGAGAGAGAGAGAGACAGACAGAGAGAGAGACAGAGAGAGGCGACGACGCAATCTCACCTATTTATGGTTGAGATTAGGGTTAATCCATTGAGTTAATTCCCGGTTTGAAGCCCACACTTTGGCCCCGGGTTTTTCAAGATCTTTTAAAATTTACCCAAACAGCGTATTCAGGAATCCGGATTTTCCCAATGTCATCCCCTTGTCAAAAATCCCCTTCTAAACCCTCACCCAAATGCACCCTAAACGACTAAACGTTTAGCTGGTTCAGTGCAACAGCGCAGCAACCTTATCCAACAGCTGCCAAGCGCAACTTTCATTTGCATGATAAATTTAATGAAACCAGTCATTGTGATAAACTTAACATATACACACACGTATGCTAATGAAACCAAAACACATAAAACTGATAGCACTCGTGAAATCTGTTTTCATGGAGTAAGAAACTCGAAAGTGACACAAAGAAAAAAGAAAAGAGAGAACTTCCTAGGGTCAGACAGCTTTCCCTGCCTCTAAATAACTTCGGAGTATGCAAATTCGGCAAAAATAAGAAAACAATAGGGCACATTTCAGACATCTCATTCTGATTCCTACAGGAAATATGTACATTTGATGCATAATAAATAAATGAGTTAATGAAAACAGGACACTTTATCTTAGTAAGTATCACTTACATGGTTGGGCATAAAATGAAACTGGCATGGGTTGGCTCGTATCAGCACTAGTTCCAACCAGAACAAGGGCTCTGTCATGAACAGAGGCGAGATTTTGCTCTTGGCACTTTAGCTTCAATTTCTTCCTCAGCGATAATTTCTCTAGCTTACTTTCATTCTCCCTGGCAAGCCCTAAAATTAGAGATTATATCAGGCCAGTAAGACTCCATACACATAAAATTTTACACTAATAAGATAACATAGATAATTCGGCGAGGGGGAATGAAAAGATGATACTTAACCTGTGTGTAGGTAAAACATGTCGTCCAGTGCCTCAAGACCTTTACTGCAACCACCAATAAATACAAGAACACCTCCCTTGACAGGATCCAAACAGTCCCCAGCAACAGAAAATCTAGCAGACGGTCCATCACCAGCAGTTAGCACCTTGGTCCATACACCAGTGTCTGCACCACAGTTAAGATAGAGTGGGTATCTAAGGATACAATTTCGCAAAAATTAGGGCAAGGGAAAGAGTGTAAAGTACATGTGACCGAAGGTGGATAGACAGGAAGGTTCAGAAGCTTCAAACAATCCATAAAAGTAAGTAGCCAAAGGTGAATGTTTTAGAGAATTTCTTGAAACTTACCAACATCAAGCATGTAGAGGTCATTGTATAGATTTTGGGCGTCTGTGAATCCCCCAAAAACAAATAAGTTATTCCCAAAAGCAACAGTACAATGACCCCCTCGGGGTGGCATAAACTGGCCAGTAGTTTTCAGCTCCCTCCAAATTAGAGTATCTAATGAAGTACCATAATACAAGAATTACAGAAGGTACATGTCATATACAATATCCAAGAGCTAGGTACTAGTAGTATCTAAATTACGTAAAACGTTAAATAAACTTGCAATTGGGTAAAAAATTTCAGAAAATAATGGTACCTACCTGTATCAAGTATATGGACATCAGACAAATAGTAATCGTGCCCATCTTCACCACCAATCACAATTAGTTTGTTCTTCCAAGATGAACAAGTATGGCTATCACGCCGAGATGGTGGGTTGCCTGATGTCATAGCACGTTTCCATACAAACGTCTCTACAAGATAGGATGAGAAAAGGGATTAAACTTGTCTTCCGTGCTATATGTATCGATCAGTAACATAGTTAAGTCGAATGTTCAGGTTCTAGATAAATGTAGATCATGAAGGCAATTAAAAACTGAATGCGATGTCCTACACCTAGAACACTCCCTCTCTTCTTCCTCCCCTAGGTTGTAAAAAGAACAAGGTGACAGAGATGACCCTGTGCAATCCTACAAACTCACAGCACAACAAGAGCAAGAGGACAGAGACAAAATTCTTATATGACTTTACTGAACACCACACCACCAACTTCATGACGTAAGAAGGTCCACACCAAAAGACAGATATATCAACAACAAAGCCTTTTCCCACTAAGTGGGGTCGGCTATAAAAGACAGATATATCAAATAAGTAAATTCATAAGATCAATGCGAGTGGTACCATGCAAATGCAGAATCATTATTTTTAACAACAAAAATGTTAGCAAGAGGCACATAATATTTATAGACTTTACTGAAGAGCATGCCAACAACTTCATTCCCAAAGAAGTCCCACATGCTATCCAAAAACCTAGGCTAAAGTGAGATATATCAAGTAAATTCATTGTGATGTAAATGCACAATTACTATCAGAAAAAAGTGTGATGAAAGTAAATCAAACCAATCCTCACCCAAGTGATTAATGAACAAACCTTACAAGGAAACCTACCTGTATTCAAAATGTAAAGATCATTGAAATACACTTCATTGTCGTTACTAGCAGATTTTCCACAGCCACCAAATATAAATAGCCGTTTCCCAACAAGGGCAGCACTATGACCCTCCCGTGCCTCTGGTGCTTCACCTCTTAAACTTGGAGATATCCATGTATGTAAAGCTACACGAGCATTAAGAACATAAGTGGGAAGTGGTACGCACAGTTCAGAAATCAATAATAAGGAATTTGATGAGCCTTAAAAGGTGGTGGTGTCAATAAATGTTGAGAATTGAGTATATCTGGTCACGTAGTTCCAAACCAAGCCCTAAATGGTAACAGTGTAGTAAATGTTGAAAATTGAGTAAATCTGGTTTCAACTCTTCGATATACCAATCCAAAGTGGATAGGAAAATAAGTTAATTGCCACCCCGGACTTAGAATCACTGATTTAATTATTTATTCCGAAAAGGAATCATCTGATTGAATTACTTGACCCAAAATAACGTATAGAAGCATGAGCATGCTACGTAGTCAAGAAAAGATATCAAAGCTAGGGAAATAGCAAAAATATAAGAGAGAAAGCCACTCACAGGTGTCTAATATATGCAAATCCCTGAGAGGATTCATCCCATCCGTACCCCCAAAGACGAAGAGATTATCACCAACAGTGGTGCAGCTGTGGCTGTCCCTTGGAGTTGGCGGGGTGCCTTTAATCGCTGGCTGGCTCCATGAATGCGTAGCTGCAGTCAGCAGAGTAAGAGTATTAACAATAACAATCTCTATATAAAATGCAACAACACATAGGAAAATGCAGAGTGCTAGTTGTTAACACCAACATGAAAATTTGAAACCAAAGTTAAAGAAATTATGTAGCACTATTCGAAATTTTTAACCAATAAAACCCCTAAAAATCAAAATTCAGCAGAATAATCCCATGAAGCATTTACTCAATAATTCTGGCAGAAAATTAACCCATCGCAGCATTTGATTCCAATTTTCTAAAGAAGATTATTCCTACCAAAATTACCAAATTAAACCCAACAAAAACCCTAATTACAAGCCAACTAAACACCCCTTAAACATTAATTAACGTGGTTAACTACATAAAGATTCAAGCTTTTTTCCCAGAAAAATCACAAGTAACCAAATTTACACAAACCCACATGCAAAAAACGATAAAGGTACAAATTAAACGAATAATCTGGGTAAATTTTTAGCATTTGGGGAAGACCCACCAGTGTCAAAGACGTGAACTTCGTTGGTCTGACAGTTATCTCTGCCATAGCCACCGAATACATACAGCATCCGCCCTTCCTTGATTGCATTGCATGTATGGCCCCACCGCTTCCCGGGCCCAGACACCTCGCCCACTGCCACTCCTCCTCCTTCTTGTTCTTGTTGTTGCAGGTGAGCTTGTTTGGGCTGCAGCTGCACCCTTTCCCACTTCATTGTGTTTTCTGGGTAAACAATTGGGTAGAGACGCCCAGTTGGGTTAGAAAAATGGGGAAGCAGTGAAATATGCTGAATTACACAGAATAATTTTATTTTATTTTATTTTTTTATAATTAGGATTTTTGTGTTCTGAGATTGAGCTGATTTTATTTTTTCTAGTTAATGCAAATAAGGACATTGAAATTGAATAAATAAAATTAAGAGATAGGAAATATTTTTTTGGGAAATGAGAGAAAATGCGTTTAAGTAGGTGTATTTGAAGCCACGTATTAACGTTTAGTTAGTATTTTTATTCAATTGTAAGTGTAAGATCTTAAATTTGATATTCGTTAAAAGTGAATTTGAACTATATTATTACTAATACATTGTGAGACTACTTCCCTTTTAGTGTAAAAAATATCGATTGTTAAAAAAAAAAAATAGGTGCATGTGGAGAAGTGATTTTTACATACATTTTCTAGGAAATTGATTTATTTAAAAAATGTGTTTAGGTGATTAAGAAATTAAAATAAGTGTGTAGAAACTGTTTTTTATTTAAAATTGAAAAAATAAATTATAAGTACTACACTAAGGCTTCGTTTGGATGTATTTTCAAAATGATTGAAAAAACGCTTTTAAAAAAAATGTTTTTGGGTTTCAAAAGCACTTGAAGTGCTTTCTACAAGAAGCACCGGTTATGTGCTTCTTTAAGTGCTTTTCCAGGATTTGCTTACATTTTATTAAGAATTGGTTTCAAAAATATTTTCACCAAAAGCGTTTTCAATCCTTTTAAAAGCACATCTAAACAAGCTCTAAAACATTAACAAAATTTGCTTTCTTATATCATAAAAAAAGAAAGTTTGTAATTTGCTTTCAAATTTATAAAAATAACTTTTTGTTATCTTTTACATAAATTACAACGTGATTTAATCAACAAAAGAATAATTACCTCTAAATTAGACCTGTAAACGGGTCGAGTTTATTGGGTTTGAGTCAGGTTCAACCTGACCCGTTAAGTTAACGGGTCATCCGAACCCAACTCCTTAAGCTAATGGGTCACTCGAACCCGATCTGTTAAGCTAACGAGTCACCCGTTAACAACTATTATTATTATTTTTTTGCATAGAGTTTATATTTTGTTGTTAAGACTTTACTGAAATTATTAAAACATCCTCAGCTAACAGATGTTAACAGGTGCTAACGGGTCTAACATTTTGATCCAAAGTAACCCGTTATTTAACCGGTTGTTAACGGGTTCACCCGTTAACGATCCGACCCGTTAAGCATCCATCCAAATACTAATATTAACGGGTCAGATTGAATTAACGGGTCAGGTCCAAAATGCCAGGACTACTCTAAATGGATACAAATTACTTTATTCATGAATAAAATTTAGTTATATGATGACACGTTACATGTCCTCACTGCGATTGTGTTTGTTACATTTGGACTTGAACTTCAGCATCATCGTTAGAATGTTACATCAATTACGAGGAAAACTAATAAAAATAATTAAAAATTTTAAGTTTTAACGATAACGACAAAATAAAAAGTAAAATGAATAGTATCAGGATTGATTTTTTAGTGTAAAAATATAATTTTTCGTTAAAATGAACAGTATCATGAACTTTTTGTTAAAATCCCTTAAATTATGATGTCTTTTCATAAAAATATATAGTACACAACAAACCTTTGAGTGCAAGAAACTCAATTCATATATAAAAATCTGTAGCCTTTTCGCGGTCTAACACGGATATAAATAGTGTGTTTTTAACTTAGTGCGCTCATGCTAATACACGTCCAAACATCTTTTTCCTATCGTGAATATTTTGTTATATTTATTGCCATTGAAATTGTGATTCGATTTCTTTGGCAATAGGGTATTGTATTCTGAATTATATAATTTATTGGAAGGGAGACTCGAACTCGAATACAAACGAACAAGTCCCTTTTTTTTTTCTGGAATTTTAACGTTTTGGTACTGTTCAGTTTTAACGAAAAATCATATTTTTACATTTCCTAGTACCATTCACTATACCTTTATTTGTCATTTTTCATTAAAACTAAAAAACTTTTGAACTTTTCATTAGTTTTTTTTTTTTTTTTTAAAGTTGTTATACAAATTTTAAGATACTAAAATTTGGAATGTAGGGTTTAATTAAACTGTTGATAATTTTATCCGAGTGCGAAATAATGAGAGGATACAAGATAAATAACTTAAGAACTTGTTGTTTTGTATCTTTATTTATATATCAATACCAATCAATAAAAAATAAGGGAGTTTTTTTTATAAAATAAATTAAATTAGGTAGTTTAAAATCGCTTTTTAAATGAAAAATTAAATTAGGTAAATAATATCGTTTGTTAAAAAAAAAAAAACACATTTTCCACAAGAAAGACCCTAAAATATGATGGGAGAAGTAGTAAGGTTCAGGAAATAATGTGAAGTCTGTCTCAATGGATGATTAGGTAAATTTTAAACCATTCACTACACGTTGGGCTACCTTAAGTTTCCCAGCCAGAACATCTACAACTCGTTGTCCAACTAATGCGCAGAGCCGTCAACAAAACTCAGAAACGCCCCTTCCGAAGCCGTGCCCACGCTATGGCTGCAACCGCAGCACCCCCCAAGTGTGCAGCTCCTGAGATATGTCTGTCTCCCTGCCATAAGAGCATAATGCTACCACTAAATGTACTCTGAAACAACGAATGACAATGGCATTCGTTTGATGATAACCGTGACTCTCAACTCCTACTCCGTTCCATGGCACGAATGCACCACAAACACACACACACACACAGAGAAAGGAAAGTGACACCAGGGAGATAACCAACGTACCTCTATTATCCTCAAGACGTCTTTCCCAATTAGAAAGATACCCTGAAATGGAAAAGGAGAGGTTAAGTTTTCAAGGATTTGCTGAACAGCCTCGACCAATCACACAACAATAACGAAGCAAACTTACCAGCAGGATGGCAGGAACTGGTATGATGAATTCTAAGTAGAGTGTTGCTTTTGGGAAGAGAAATATATCGAGCAACATGATAGCATTAACAGCTCCGCTTGCCCCCTGGATGTCACAAACAGACACAATAGTGAAATGAATGTAATGTTCACTGAATGTTCTTTTTCGGAGTATAACAAGTAATACGAAGCAATGTATACCAACAATCTGTGAAAAATGAAACTTAGCTTTATGCATGGGAAATAATGATAGATAAAAACAAGCCAGGGGGAGGAGAAGAAAGGGAAACTCAAAGCTCATCCACAGAATTAATATCCCATTCCTATTGCCATGAAAACGCTTAATGGGATGGCCGGCATGGCATGATGCTAAACTATGGCACCATACGATAGTCTCATCTTTCACAATTTAGTTTCTTTGGTAATTTTTCTTTCTCTAGGCAGTTGTTCAAATTTCTTGGGGAAATTATACTCTAGGCCAGTATCCTGGTCTGTTCAGAAATGTAAAAACCACGGCAGCTAAAGAGTTTCTGAAAGCATACCAGTCCTGGTATCTTTGCCGCCTCCGTGTTCCAAGGCTTTCGGCCCTGCAAAGAGCAGATTGTGATGAGATACTCAAGAGCTAATACTGTACAATCACAAAACCATCCAGGAGTTCCCATACATTTTAAGAGTTCAGTAAGCAAATTAGAAGCATTATCTTCTGTGAACAAGTTGTTCTGTTGATTATCATTTGAGCAAAGCAATAAACTATAGCTTTGCTCAAATGAGTATTATTAGTTTGAGTATAATTTCACCTGCGATGATGAGGCCAGGAAGGCTTTGTGGACCAAGAAAAAGACTGAGCCACCAACTGCCCCGGCTAGATACAACTTCAGCAAAAACTCAGGCCCAAAAACTCTTCCAATCTGGTTAGTGCACCAAAAGCAGACAAAGATGATAAAAACAGATTGAACATAACCCTTCATGGTTATCAAAATTTAACAACTCAAGCAAGCTTAGCTGTACGGTAACGATTGTATTGAAATTTCGATCATAAAAAGGCTTACATTCATCCCAAAAAAATATAGTCCGATCATGTTAGAAAAGATATGCCCAGCATCAATATGACTGAATGCAGAAGTTATCAACGTGTGCAGCCGTCCACTTGCAAAATTGTGTAATGAAATCTGGTTAGAGAAAGAGCAAATTAACAAGTTAGGAAATTGAAGTGAAAAACATTCTGTCATCAAACTAGAGTACTAGCAGCTGTAAAGAGTTTGTCCTTCAACGTTTTATTTCCTTAATCTTTCCTTAAGTTTAGGATTTCTTCTCACTTTTAAGAGAGTGCACACGAAGAGGTGTCGGAACTCAGGAAATACAGCCATATGACAAGTTGACGACATTTAGTTAACTTCAAATTTAGAATGACTCACGGTAAAATTATTCATCATGAAGCTACGATCTGCAATCCTCCATAAAAGAAAAACAGCAACATTTGCTAGAATCAATCCCAAAACCACTTCATTATTCGATAACCTCCCGAACCACGACCTCCTACAAAGATGAGAAAATAAGTTACTGACAGATTAACACTACGATGGCAACTGCATATGGTCAAGGTTTGTTATGAATGAGCAAGGTTCTACACTCTATCGCAGTGCAGTCTAGTAGAACTTTTTAAATAATCAATAAAGTATTCGGATGTCCAAATAATCTTCTAGATAGAAACTATGAGTAGAGACTTCACCATCCCAAAAGGTCAAATACTTGGTTGATTTCATATGTTTTCTTCAATAATAAGGTGACAAAATTTTTGAAACATAACTTATTTTATAGCATAACTCGAAGAAACACACTGAATCAGAAAGTGAATTTAAAATCTGCTCAATTCTGAGTGGAGAAAATCACCACAAATGTCCAAAATTAGTCTCTTTAAACTCACAAACACACTTTGTTACATTTAAATTAAGGGAGTTTTAACGAAACACTCCCATTACTGTTCACTTTTAATGAAAACCACATTTTTACCTTTTTCCTAATACTATTCCTTACACCTTTATTTGTCATTTTTCATTAAAATTACATTTTTTTTAGACTTTTCGTTAGTTTTTCTTTAAATGAACCCAAATAGGAGGCCGGGTTCGAATCTCCTCCCCGTAGACTAGAGTAATTCTAATACCGCCTAGTAAACAGTAAAAGCAATGCACATATTTTTTTCATTTCCTAACAGTAAACTGCGTTACATATGTTTTCTCACAGTGCAGTCTCATCAATCAACTTTCAAGAATGGCAAAAGCAAACGTTTCCAGTAAAAAATGCAGGAGCTTTTGTGATGAACAAGAAGCAAGCAATGGCATGCAGCACATAAAAAGTAATATTTGTACGGCCAACCAATCACGAATCGATACGTGTCGTCCTTCTCTGTTACCAGCCACATTACTCTTTTTTTCACTGGTCAAATCAACCGTGAAAATATGAAATCAAAAGCCAACAAGAAATCCCAAATCAACCCAAAGAACCCTAGCTGAATCACATACAATTTCACACACTCTAACAGAAATTTCACAATAATGCAAAATAAAAAAAAATAAAAAAAGTTAATGCAGATTAAACGTTACCATGGACTCCGATGAGAAGTGATCTGGTTGAACTTAAAGCTCCGTTTGGGAAGTTGGGCTCTGAGGAATCCGACTCTGCAGTCCGAAAGGCTTTTGCTTGAAGCTCTCAGAAGGGTATTCGAGAAACCCAGAAAGGATTGGTTTCTGAGTGATGGGTTGGAGACAAACCCAAGAATTTTTTGCGCGAGAGTGTGCTGCGACCGCCATGGATGAGGGTGGTGGCGAAGCGGGAGTGCAGGAAAGGAGCTGAAGAAGTGGTTTAGGTTCTGGGTTATGGGCGGTTTGGCGAGAGAAAACGTTTTGTGACATTGGGAGTGGAAGATTGGGGAGGTGGTGGCGGTGGATGTGACGGAGGTTGGGAGGTTTCTGGGGAGGTTTGAGGAGGCTAGTTTCAGAGAAAGGAACCTCTGCATTTTTTGAGGCTTTGATGGAAGGCGCTCTTCGGTGGGTATTGGGAAGTTCCTTGCTTATGGAACAGGGCACCCTCCGAGTCCCTAAGTTCTGTCTTGTAATATTAGCAATAATGTTGGTTTAAATTCATTTTAATGAAAATCAAACATAAGATCTCTTACTTACTAATGAAGAGAAATATCACTAGATCGTAGTACTAAGTGTCATAAAATTTGCAAATTTAAATGTGAGAGGAGAGAAAGAAGCTAACTTGGGATTGGGAGTGACCAAATTACGGTATTACCCCAGTTGATCCACTCATGATTTTCTCATGTTGAACACAATTTTTGGTCAATCTATTTTATTACGTGATATGTTCGACTCTGTCATACTTTATAAAGTTTATCAACATTAATTGATGATGTTATTAACATTAAATGATGAGGTGAATAAATACTAAAGTTGGTTTTCACTAATCGACTTCTTTGGAGTTCTAATCCCCAAATTGACCCATTTTAGCCTAGTTGCACTAACTAAATGACATCAAGTTGGAGGTTAAAATTTTCATGGATAACTTAAGAGTTAAAACATGTTTAATATTTGTCTGTATCATCACTGAACGCTAATGAAACTAATAAATGTCTAGCTTTAAATTTTTTAAATAATTATTTAAAATGTTTTAAGAAGTTAACCAATTATAAATCACTTTTAAAAATTGAGTAATCGAATATTTTAACCATTAAGTTCTTATTTAAAACTATAAAAATTAAAATTGAATGGTTAAAACATCCGATGAGTCCGGACCATACCACCCAAGAATTTTTGATAACTTGTGACATTGTATCCGGCACTTATTCAGTTATTCATGTAGTTTTGCGTTCGACAAGCTCCAAAACCAGAATTGTGAAATGGCCATTAGGGTTCTAACGAGAACCACAGTTACACGCTTCACAAGCATTTTAACCGCCAAGCAAATCCCAAATTTCCCAAACCAAAAGTCCCAATCTTTTTCCACAAACCCAGCAAAACCCAGATTTACCCACCAATCCCAGTACCGGAAACAGATTTCCCTCGCCACTCTGCTCCAAAGGTACGGCTTCCCATCTTCTCTGCTCCACAATTTCCTCTCAAAGCATCAATTTTTATTGAATTCCAACTTACAGGAATTAGAGAAGTCTCTGGCTATACTTTTATCCTTCAAAATCCCTCAGAAATCCCTTGTTTCTTTGATTTGTGACTGCCCTGGGGTTTTGGATTTTCAGTTTCTGAAGAAATGGGAAAAGGGTTTTTCAAATTTGGGGATTTTGAGTGCTTCCCCATTGATGGTTAGGAGTGTTTTGGAACAATCTAAGAGGTTTCAGATTGACCCAGATGGGGTTTTTAGGAGTGTGGAGGTTTTGAGGGGTTTAGGGTTTATGGATGGCACGGTTATTAAGGTTTTAGAGGGGTTTCCAGGAGTGATTTTGATGAATGGGAGGGAGATTCAACGGAGAATCGAATTCTTGGAGGGAATTGGAATTTTGAGGGATGAAATTAATTGGGTTCTAAAATATTTTCCTGGGGTTATAGGATTTGGGGTTGAAGATAGGCTGAAGCCATTGCTGTGTGAGTTTAAAGGTTTCGGTTTTAGCGAGGATGTGATTAGGACAGAGATAATGAAAGAGCCGCGAATTCTTGGCATGGAATTGGGCGAATTTTCGCAGTGTGTGGAATTCTTGAGGACTTTGAAGTGTAGGGTACCAATCAAGGAGAAGATTTTCAGTGAGGGAGAATTTAGAGCTGGGTTTGAAGTGAAGTTGAGAGTTGACTGCTTGTGCGGATACGGGTTGATTCGTAGAGAGGCTTTTGAGGTGTTGTGGAAGGAACCGAGGTCAATTATATTTAAGGTGGGGGAAATTGAGAGGAAGATTGAGTTTTTAATACAAAGGATGAAATTCAGTACCCGTTGTTTGGTTGAAGTTCCACAGTATTTGGGTGTGAATTTTGAGAAGCAGATCATTCCTCGGTACAATGTGATCGAGTATTTGAGATCTAAAGGCGGGCTTGGTTATGAGGTGGGGTTAAGGGGTTTGATCAGGCCTAGCAGGCTTAGATTCTATAACCTGTACGTCAAGCCATATCCGGACTGTGAAAAAATGTTTGGGAGATTTTCAGGAGATGTTAAAGTTCAAAGCCGACATCCTGCTGGACTATGGAAGCTTTTCAAGCCACAAAAGTATCCAGAATCCAAGGAAGATGTGACGAACACAAAGCTATTTATGAAATCTCTGGGTTAGAGTTGCACCGTTTTTGAGCCATTTGTACTCTGAATGCATGGAAAAATGGTTGGTGGCATGAAGTTATTTGGTGCATGGTAGACATAGTCATGGTATAAACTCGACTTTTGGCACTTTGCCTTTTACGCTGCCTGCAGAAAGTTTTAAGAAAGCTTAAAGATTTGCATTGCTAACGGAGTTGGCAGTGTCCATCCATTGTACTCCATTCTTTATTGAATTGAAGAAAAGTGGCAGTGATTTTTACATATGCCGGGAGTTGGATGAACGAACGATTGCAATATCTTTGGCAGAAAGATTATACAACGTAAAAGTGAACTTAAGGGCCAGGGATTCCTTTGGATCCTGTTTGTTGTGGAACCTAGAATCGATGCCTGTCTACCCTCTGCTTCTTCTTTAAGTGTATCTCGTGTTCTGATATCTGCTTGTTGCAAATAACTTCGAGTCAGCATGGACTTCTCTGATTCCTATTGATTGCATTACCTCGTCATCATTCATCTGCGACTTATTTTACGCTCTTACTTATCATGTGTTCTGCATTCAAGGCGATACAGAATGAAGAAGCTGGTTCAGACAACAAATTGAATGTTCATTTATACAAGCAGCAGATTGATCACTTATACAAGCTCAATCAACACTATTGGATTTGGCTACCGTGGTTGGCTTCCGGAGGTCCACGAATCTTGAGGGGATATCGGGAAGACAACTTGTGCAACAACTTTGATGTTCAGTGTAAAACACGTCTTGAAAACCTTGCTTCGGGCGAGGACTGCAAATGGGGGGTTCAAGGGAAATGAACAAAACAACATCAAGGACAAGCAGATGTTCAGAGCTTGCCGATGGAATGGTTGAATCGGCTATTGTTTCCGCGGATTCATTTCTTCCGCAGATGGATACTGATCGTGTATGGAATATCTTGTATTAATTTCTGCTTCGAAACTATTACACATTTTGCATTTGTACTTACGGAAAATGTAGGCTTGTTTGAAAGTGCTTTTAAAATTACAGAAAGCACATTTAGAGTAAATATTTTTGAGTTCGAATTTCAAGATTTCCTTGCATTTTTTGCTAAGAAGCTAAAACTATTTATATCAAAAGTGTTTTCAACTATTTTTAAAAAACACTTTCAAACGAGTCTGTAAATCGACTTGAAGATGTATCTTGACAACATTACAAACCTAAATCAGAGAGCAGATAAGCCTATGCGTATTGTTAATAAAATGCCGCAAGTTGGGCCTCAACATGTGTATAGAAGCCCACGATGTCCCCCATGGTGTTGTGCTGGAGCTTGCCCTATGCCTCCCTGCTTGTATTGGAAATCCCTTAAACCCTAATTAATGGCTAATAATTATTTTCGCACTATCAACTTTTTTTATTCACACTCATTTCTATGTTTTGATTTTTGAATTAAAAAATTTTTAAAAAAAATCAAGGGACCAAAAAAAAAAAACTTGTCCAGAAATTGAAAAAAAAAAAAAAAACATTTCTCTAGAGCACTACAGATTATAAGAGCATCTCCATCTTATTGATATTTGATGTGTCATTCCGAAGCATGCTATCAAATTTCATTATATTTTAACCGATATGCTGGTTATTATTTTAAGGCCCATTTTAAAATAAAATAAACGGTAAAACTATTTTAAAAAACTTATATTCTAGTGGATGATGAGACCTACCAATTAATAATCAAATGAAATGAAATTTCAGGCAGCATCAAAATTTATAAAATATTGTTCGGTTGAAGAAATATAATCTTTCAAAAATGATTAGTTGGCATTCCACTTAAAATTTGATATTTTCTTTGGAGATGTTCCAAGACGGATTATAATAAAGCATTTCACAGTCAGCAGGAATTTTAAGTTTGAATTCTAACATTAAACTCAAGATCATACAATGAGTTGAAAACTGTGAGGTATTTCGGAAGTTCAAATTTAATTCTTAGTTAAATGATAGAAAGTTAGTAAACTACTTGGACCATCTTCAAATGAGATGTCAAATTTTGAACATAAAATTTAAATTTTGACAGCTTATTATGTGGCACTTTGACATCTTTTAAAGTTTTGTTTTCTAACTGATATGTCAAATAAAATCATTATTTTATAAAATAAATTATCAAACTAATTAAAATTTAATAAATGACATTTATTGTTTAATTAGTAATCTGTTCACCTTCCTTGATTGAAAAGAAGAAAAAGTATGATAATTGCATCGGTCAACTTAACATTAATTATAAATGATTAAACTAATTAAAAATTAATAAAATACATATAATAATTAATAAAAAAAACATTTGACGCTACTGTCAAATTTGACAGCAACCTCGTTTGCTGCCAATCCATATCATCGCCACATATGATTTGGCACTTCGGTTGGAGAATATTAGTGTGGTTTTTTTTTTACTGTTATAGCTGATGTGTACATTAGAGATGCTCTTACCAGTTAGAACATAAATATCACTGTAACGGTATTTCAAATCAATTATACACTACTTTATGCTTAACTTCTCTATATATTTAGTGTATAATTAACTTGAAATATCACCATCATGAATTCCAATGTGCAAGTGAGCCCTAAACACACACACACACACACACATACATATGTCATGCAAATATCAGAACCGTAGTAATTAACAGAATAAAGATCTAACGTACAAATTGAGATATGCATATGATACCTTGTAGGCAATTTGCCTGGTCCATACTTAGAAAGCAAGTAAATGTCCCCATGAAGATTCTACCAAAATCGAGCTGTAAAGATCCTCTTATTTAACCCAAAAGTAGCACACCGATGAACATGGCTTTTTCAACGTTGTTCAACATTTGGTCATACAGATATGCATACTGTCTGCAGGTTGTTTGCAGAGAATCTATACGTTTATCTAGGAAGAATATCACAGCTGCAATCTTGTATATCCAATATTTTAACAGAATAAGATTGGAAGGAAGATGTGCTTTCGGTTACTATAATTATGGATTACCGATTTGGTTAACTTTGTTTTTTCACAGAAAAATGACTAAAATGATTAGATCAATCAAATATTAATGACATAACGATTAGATTGGAATTTTTTTCAACGATTAGACCAATCAAATATTAAAAAACTGATTATAGGATTAAATTTTTTTGATCATTTTGACCCATAAAGTACGATTGAATTTTTTTTTTGTGTGTGGTTATTTTGGCCCAATCAAATATTGACGACATAAAGTAGAAGTGACTGCAATTGAAGATAAGATAAGAAAAAATTAGTTAAGTTGGTTTAGACACGTGAACAAAAGACCTATAGATGCTCCAAAAAAAGGTGCGATTATGAAACGGAGGCTCATGGCAAAAGAGTAGAAAAAGACTTTGAAATAGACTTTAAGAAAAGATAGGAAGTACTTGGAGTTAACGGACGACTTGATGCAAAACCGAACCCAATAATGTTCTATAATTCATACAACCGACCACACTTAGTGAAATAAGAATTGATTGTTGTTGTTTATTTTAACCCATTCACCAAACTCCAATACTTATCATGGTCAAAAGACTGAAGACTTTTACATTCATGTCTAAATGTTGTCTGCCAATAAGGTGCATCTTACACAGCAAGGAACCCCACTTGTAGGGTTATTGTGTAACAGCGTAGGATCAATCTTAGTACTAAACATGGGAGGCAAAACCCTATTCACATGTACATTAGTACTAAATTAATAAACAAATCTCCTTATACGATTTCGAAATTGCATTGACCTAACATACCAAACACATTACCGTCCACCAGGAGTTAATCCACTTAGTTAATATATATATATATATATATATATATTTATGCATATATATATATATGTATGCATGTATATATATATGCATGCATGCAATTTCATACAAAAAGAATCAAGCATAAGCATGCAGCATTAGTTGGCCAGATTTAGTTTGGCAGACAGACACGAATGCTGTTTTGGCGCAGCAATGCTCATAAAAAACATTGGCTCTCTCTCTCTCCCTCATTCTATATATTACTCTATATATTTATTTAACCAGTAAGTTCTTTTTATACATAAATTAAGAGGAAATTACCAGTTGGGTTAGGATATATATATATTTGGTCTAAATTCTAAAGCTGCAGTCTGGTAGCCAATCATCAATACGAGTCATTGACAATATGTTTTGCATTTTTATAAGGTGGTAAGTGGTAACTCCTAGATATCTTTCCTTAAAATAATTAGACATGCATTAGCTAGGGCTTAGGGGTGGCAGACTGTATATTTGGCGTCATAGTCCAAAACATAGTCCTTTGACAAAAAACTCATCTCTAACCGAAGGGGACTATTTTTTAGCCTCCTTAATAATTTATTACTTTAATTGAATTAACTACCATATTAAAATAAGGTTTTCAGACATATTTTGAGTGTCACTTGTCGTTAAATTAATAAGCCTCCAGATTTCTTATCTTTATATAATGAAAATGATGTGAAAATTTGGTAAATAATTGAAATAAAATGAGGTAAGATATTATGGAATGATGAAAATGATGTGAGAAATGGGGTACAAATGGCTTAGGTATTTATAGGGAAAAAAAATTAGATTTTTTTTTTAAAATTTCGTCTAAAAAAAAGAAGAAAGGCACTCAAAATCGAACAGTAACTTGACGTCAAGTAGCATGTGTTTGGGCTGGGCTATAGGGTTGGGTGGTCTTAGCCAGCCCTTTAGCTGGTTCTCGAATTTTTGGCTAGGTGGAGCCCACGAGCCCTTTGGTCTAGTCCTCAGTTGAAGATGGTTTTCGTGTCAAAAATGACTATTTTTTTTGTCTATGGCCCTTTGGCCGGGTCGGTTGGAGATGGCCTAAGAAAGCTTGCTTTGAATAAAGGCCTACAGACATACTCAGCAAATCCCTTTTCTTTCTTTTTTTTAATTGCCCTTGTATTTACTTGTTTTTCATTCTTTCCGGTTGTGTGCTCGATCAATCACATAAAGATTTATCGATAAGTATAGGTGAAACCAACCCTTGTCAACCAGAAGAGGAAATCGATTTCAAGTATTCTATGGAGTGTCGTACATGAAAATTTCAATGTAATTAATGTTCACCAACAAATTAAATTTCGACTGGTCAGGACTTATGTGGCACGCACCATATATGGATCCCCCTAAATTGCACACATGACATGTGACTCATGTAAACTTAATGAATTATCAAGAGTTTTCTCCAAAAAAAAAAAAAAAACAAAAAAAACAAAGAGTTATCAAGAGTTACATGTGTCCGTATCTGAAACATCCGTCATCAAACAAATTAACCCTAGTTTGATCAAATTATATCATTTAGGGTTTATTTTTAAATTAAAGATTTCTCTTTAATAAAAAGTTAAATCCACTAATTAGCTCAAATTAAATGAAATCAGAAAATTAACCACACAAATCACGGGATTCAGAATGAGCCCATAAATAATACGCTCATTATAGCAAAGAGGATTTTGGAGAGAAACGAAACAAGCTCAAGCCTTTGGAGAAATTAGAAAGCCCTCAAGCCAAAGAAAACACCAAATACACGAACACTTTTGTGTTATTCATCAAACTCGTGGAGACTCAATAAGCGAAACGAACACATGCCAATTTATCCACCGCCAAAGCCGAAAATCACCCACCACGTCAAACTCTTCGTGGTCCCATTTCATTCCATAACAAACTTCGGCGTCCCTTGAAGAATCACAAGCAATCAATTCAAGTTCAAGATCAAGTGGTCACCACTCTTGGATCAAATTCTACTTTGGAGATCGAATAAGAGTCTTGTAAAAGAATAGCTACACAAAGATCGTAACCCTAAGTTTATTAATTTTTTTTTGTCAAACCCCTAAGTTTATTAATTCAAAGTATTATTTTTGTACACATATTTTTATTTCATTTGTTACAAGAAATTTCTTGTTTACAAAAATATATATATATATATATATATATATTTTTCTTTTTCAGTAGCTTTTTTTCTTTCAATTATATACATATGAGGGAAGTTTCTTTAATACTACAACATTTAATGGTACAGGAAAACATATTTTCACTAGTTTTT